TATGATAGGACTTGGAACTGGATCTGGATACTTCCTCCATCGGGCAGCAAACACACAGTCATGTAAAATACATCCTCAGTATAAACAGTTGATTCAGTCTCTTCATTTAAACAACATACTGAGAAAAGTGGAAAGTGTAAAGCCCCAGAGTGGCTTCATGGGACACATTGCATTATGGGTAAATGTGTCCACGTCTCGGGGATTGTACCTGAGTGGGGGTGTTTGTGGTCGTGCACTGAGTGACATGCCTGTGTACACTTTGTGGTTTGGTTGGTAATTTATTATGACAGAGACTGAAACTCAACAATCGACGCCGCTGACCATGAGACAGCTGAGGCCACAAGCAGTCAGAGGTGGGAATAACAAAGTACATTTACTCAGTTATTGTACTGATTTTCATGTATCTGTGCTTTATTACTATTTACTCAGGTAGGCTTCATTTCAGGTACTTTTTCTCCACTGCATATATCAGCAAATATATGTACTTTCTACGCTACTACATTTTCTCAGCATAAAATAAAAAGGAGAAATTAGGATTAGCCGTTAATCACGTTAGATAAAATGTGCAAAAATATGAAGAAATCTGTGTGTGACCAACACAACATCAGCAGATTCTGCAGTGAGAAACAAATTAAAGTGGTTTACGTGATTTCAATGGACTGCAGCTCATCATAAGTGATAACTGATTCTACATCACAGCCTCATTTGTATGAGTGTCCCATTACAGCTAAGCTCTTTCAGGTGAATCAATTAGTGGATAAATCCCAACAAGTCTGTGGAACTCTTATATGATTGGTATTCATTCAATTGAATTCAGTGTTATATAGCACCGAATCATAATATGCATTATCTTAAGGTACTTTACATAGAAGGTCAAGACCTTCAAATCTTATTTCATATATGAAACCCCAGATATAATAGGTTTTGTTTCTAAACATCCAAGGAATAATTAAAGTAAAACCAAAAGTCAGAATCAGATTAGGAGACACATCAATACACAATATGTGACACAAGAAGGGTTTAAGACTTTTTCTCAGACTTTTCAAACTGATGCTGAAAAATGTTTCAAAAAACTGAAAATGTCGGCATTTATTTTGTTTAAAAAGAGAAAAATACTTAAACAATGACTTGGTTTTAGAGTTTGAGCACCCTAACATTTTTCTAATGGCAGCAATGATCTCAACTACACACCACAGAGTATTCTTAGAGATATCACAGGAATATAAAACAATACTGTGACACACATGTAAGAGAGGAACCGATTTCACTCACTGCATCCTGACTGTCCCGCTGTGTGTCGCTCTCTCAGTGTCCAAACTCATCTGCTGCATCTCTCTGAGCGACAGGTCAGGTTAGCAGGGTCTGACTTGAGCTGACAGCGAAGATGAGATGGATTTTATTTGTGTGCAGAAGAGGGAGGAGTCTGCAGCAGAGGGAGGAGGCTGCAGGTGGTTCCAAGTGCGGACAACAGAGTGCATTGCAGCAGCAGCACCACCACAGAGAGAGCTGTGGGAAACTTCTATTTGATTCACAAAACCAACATTTACTTTCATATAGTCTGACTTCGCAGATGGTTTCAAGCTCTCTTGAGACTTTCACCCGAATCCTGACAGACTTGATGAGATAAGTTGAGATGAAGTGAGACTTTGCTGAACTGATTGACGGAGGGAAGTCGCTGTCTTGTAAATGCAAATGTGAGAAAGTAAAATCTTGGTCTGAAAACAGTAGCGAGAGTTGGTATTTGGTTTTGAAGAATGCCATGAGGCAGACAGAGAGATGGAAGAGTGAGTGAGAGGGTCAATTTCCCTTTTCGGTTCTCTGGTTTTGGTTTCACGTATGGAGCCGGGGGCACGGGGGCATCCCCAGCCAGCCTGTGTGCTCCTGGTTAATGTCAGTGTCACCAACTCTCTCCCACCTTATTTCTATCAAGCACACATGCACAAACAAACACACACACAAGCACGCACCTACATAAATCACATGAATGGTAGGAGGCTGGACGTGGGCTGTCTGGTGCTGTCCCCACGGGACTAAAGGGAACAAAGACATTTTCGCTGTAGTTTCTGAGCATCTCACCTGTATCAGTTAGGTGTTTGATGAAAGTGCACATGCATTATCTGGAGCAGCTGTGAGATCTGCGATAGAGTGGATATTATTGAGATTGCTTGTGAGATTAGAGCCCAACAGTCACGTCAAATTGTTTCTTGTGCAATCCTGCTTAAATGCAGACTTTTATTTTGTTGACAGTGACTTCATGTGCTTCAGAGAAACTGTCTCACTTCGATTTGTAAAAGCAGCTAAACAGTAAAATGCTCCTTACACATCAGTACATTGGTGTCATCGATGTAAAAATGTCATGTGATGTATTTTTGCTGTTTTCGATCTTGTTGGTTTAACTTCTGCACTTTTTTTACCTCATCAGGATGATGGATGTTTACTTATTTCTCTCCATGTTGTGGTACTGCTGCCTCAGTGAAGGCTCTGGATCGGTTCAGTGTGAATCCAAACACTGAAGCCTCCAAGCCTCCAAGCCTCTGAGACCAATGAAGCGAAACCAGTCTGACAAAACTGCAGAGGGGAATTCACCTTTGCTTTCTGTTGTTTTTGCTATGGTTCATTTGCACTTCCGTAAGCATGTCCTCCCGAGGCTATCCTAGCAATGTCTGTGTTGTTTGTCTGACCATGCTTTATTTACAACGACTGTCAACAGGTACATTTCCGATGTGTCATCATCGCTCATGTCATTATCATAGCAGAACTTAAATACCGCAGTCATGCTGACGGAGCAACAGAGTGGAACGAAGTTGGAAGTGACTGGGATATTAGTTATTGTGCAAAAAAAAAAAAAAACATGTGGTCGGTGAGATGGTTTCATATTTATTCTAAATAACACTTACAATCATTTATTCGTGTGAAACATAATAAAGTCAGAATACATCATCATTTACTTCGCCACTTTTATTTTCTTGTGTTTCTTAGAGGGTTTGTAAGGTTCACAGATTAACCTTCACTCAAGTCACATGGACGGGTTTTTCTGTTCAGTGGCATCATGGGAACTCATGGGGGATAATTAGAATTAGCTATACTCAACAGCAAAATGCTGCTCGTACACTGTTGTATTTATATTATCAATTCAACAGCAGCTTAGTGCCTGTATTCAGTATTTTGCTTGTGATACTTCAAGTACTCCTCAGTGCTAATACTTCTATACTGTTACTACATTAGGATATTGAATTTTATTGTTTGTTGTAATAGATGGATGGACGGAAGAATGGGAGGGCAGACCGACGTTGTTGAGTAAAGGATCTGAAAACTTCCTCAACCACAGGTGGACGCTTAAAATCCGAACTGTGGATGAACACAAGGATCACATGACCCTGAAGTCACCTCACCGAGCTGAGACCAATGAGGTGAAACCAGTCTGAGGAATAAAATTCCAGCTCTGTTATCTGATATTATCTGTTCGACTGTTGTGCACGACTGTCATTCCAAATACAAATACATAATCGTGTTGCTAAGTGACTAGTTGTGTTTGCCGCAACAGGTTTGTAAACAAAATCCCAAACGTTTGAGAGCAAGTGACGGGGAAATGGGTGGGGATGATATTAATTATGAACTCTATCAGGAAGACAAATGCAAGGTTGCAAAAATAATCTTCACTTGAGCCAATATTTTTCTTGGCAGAGGAACAAGGAAAAAAATCTGAGTGTGTTATAAGTGACCTCATCATTAATGAATGATCCTTTATGTGACCAGATATTTCTCATAACCTCATATCACTGGTTTTCAATAAGTGTCCGTGTTTTGAAGTGAATAACCAACACATCTCCAGAGGGGAAGAATGTCTGTATTTTTGCTTCATCTATTACATTTATTCAACAAGAAATAAACGTATTAATATCCTGGGTGTCCAAGGCCACAGCAACATCCTGTAAGAAATTGTAGAGACTGGGTTTTAATTTCCAATCATTTCTGTGATTTCAGAGTTCGCTATGAGAGATCATTAAAATGAAAATGTAGATAAAATGTGAGATTTGTACTTACCTCCGTGTTGACGTTTAGGTGCAGAACTCTGTAAATGTAGATAGAAGGGACATTTTGAGATTCAGAGACATCAACAAATGGGCAAAAATGTGGAAATTGTCAAAATGCCAAACCTTTAGTTTGAGGCAGTCTGACACTCGCCAGCATGTTGTGACAAGCTGAATTTTTCAGAAATGATGTCACCACCTCAGGCTTCACATCACTCTGCCGAGCTGCCGTGACAAGCAATGGACAAAAGTCGGTTTAATGCAATAATTGACTCAATAGAGTCAGAAAATAAAGATAACTGACCAAACTAAAGATAATAAGACAGATAATTGACCCAACTACAGCTATAAAGACAGATAGCCGATCAAACTAAAGATAATAAGACAAATTAATGACCAAACCCTGGTGAAGCTTGAGCTGTCCCTAGATATTTTATAGGCTTTTATTGTGATAGTTTGAGGCTTATTGGTGTTTTTGGGGGAATGATTCCTTTGAGACTTCTCACCATAAAGCATGAATCTGCCCAGTGAGTCCTCTGAGTCTGTTTCTCTTAGCGGCGGCTCAAACTCCTGGAAAATGATGCAGTCGGCACAGTCGACCCATTTCCCGCTCCAGAACAGATTCCTCCGCTGTGGCCTTCCTGGATCAACCAGCAGCAGTACTGGTCAGAAAGAACTTTTCATTTCTGCAGACTGCAGAGAAATCCTCTGCAGATTATTGTAATATTGCAACGAAGCTGATTTTCTGAACATTCTACAGATCCATCTGTTCCCATGTTTCCAGACATTGAGCTCGCTGACCTAAATCCTGAAGCTAAAACCCCTGAGATCTATATTTAACATTATTATAGCTTCATATGTTGCATATGCCCAAATTAATGGGCTTTATAAAATTATCTTTTCAACGGTGAGAGTCATTATAAAAATTGAAAATCCTTTAGTTTAGTTTTCTTTACCCCAGAAAAGGCCCTTTATATTTAAATACTTTATATTTAAGTACTTTATATTTACATGGAGGGGACCCTCTCTGAGGAGGCCACCATGTTTTTTCACATTAGTCCAGACTGGACAAACTAAACACCTTTTGAGTTTTTATGAAAACTGAAGCTGCCACAGGTTCTTTTTCATGTTTGGAAGGAGAGGGGGAGGGGAGGGAGGTTCAGTATGACTAAACTCTACACACTGTACCTTTAAAGCTGTAATACCACCCAAAAGTACACAGGCCAGAAGGTGGCTGTATTTTTATCTCACGGCAAACGGGCTGTATAAATACTATTGGCTCCGTTGGAATAACAGAAACACCCAGAGGTTTTTCCAAATTTGCTATAAAATTCTGGTAAAATCACTGAATCCTTTTGAATTGGAATAAAATTCCCACAAACAGGATTAGCTTCGGCTTTCAGTCACTCGTATCTGCAGTGTGTGTGTGTGAGTATTTTAAGCATCTGTGGATGCAGATGGTTCCACAGTTACCCTCCAGTTCCAAATCATCCCGATCAGGATGCAGATGATAGGTCCAGGTCTGATTTTTGCAGTTTTCCCCCCTAAAAAAAACCCAGTAAGAAAACACACATCAAGACTTTCACTTTTGAAACATTTACACATATAGAAATGTAACAAAGGTCACTTCCCTAATTCCATTATCTATTTAAAGAGTTGGGTTTCTTGTTTCTCGAGACCCTGACCTGTTTTAACCCTGCTTCTATAAACCAGTTTACATATTGATAGAACAATCATTGATTGTGTTGTTTTTCTAGGCCTCGCTCCCTCAAATAAGAAATAGTTAGACTTAAAGGATTCATGTACTTCCACTGCTAGATAGTATAAATTTAATAAAAGTATTACTCAATCCAGACATTTTATGAGTTAAAATAAAGACATAAAATGTAAAATTAAAAGAAAACTACCTCTGAAAGTGGTGAAATACTATGAAAATGTTAATTGTTGGATTGACTTATGAATAACTGCCATAATGTAATTATAAAATAATTAATTAAGCCTCAGATCTGGAGATGATCATAAGCAAAATTATGAAAAACTTTTATTTCCTATTACTTTCACTTCCTCTTCATTGCACTTCCAGATAGGGGGATATTGTGTGTGTGTGTGTGTCTGTGTGTTTGCTCCCTCACATGCGCATATATCCACTCAGCAGCAGTGTGTCATTGGCCGGCTCCTCCATAGTGAACAAAATGCTGTCCAGGACTTTGAACTTCTGGATGTCAGCTTCTCTGTGACTAACGGCTGCCAGAAAGAACCATTTTCCCAGATACTAAAACATACAGACGCACAGAGAGGTGGGTGGAGGCCACAATTCAGTTACGACACTTTATCTAAACTGCAAGCCCACAACTTGTGTCAAAGACCACTAAAGGAAAGAACAGAGGCAGGGGAAAGTCAGCGTGGCAGCGTCGGAGAGCAACACTCCTACAGTCAAAAAACAAACTCGCTGATAAAAAAACAGCAGGACCAACAAAAATCACTGTGAAAAGAAAATGATCGTCAATATTGTTCCTTTTGCATCATAAAAAAAACAGTCTGGGTTTAATTTGAATCTCACCTGCTGACGGTTGATGGTGTCGACAGGCAGCAGCTCAGGGACTGAGCAGGGAACGATGGCCTGATACAACAAACCGTATAAATAGAGAACATATGACAGGGCTTCATTCAACATAACTGCCACTGCGGAGTCAACACTTGATACCGAACCTGATCAAAATGCCTGTGACTCCGAGGGACACTGAATTTATGTAATGTTTCAACGTGTCACTTGAAAGGAGAGTGGGTGTAAGTGAATGATTAACCTGTTCAGATGTGATACCCCCTGACCTATAACAGGTGAGTGATGGGCTGAATGTGGGGAATTCTGCATCCTCCACTATAAAGATACAGATTTCAGATAAATGATTAGGATCAAATGAATCATTCCACTCGTGTTCACTTTTGCGGGGAAACTCAGCGATAAACTCTTTCACCAACTGAGTCACCAACAAATGTAGGAAGTGGTGTTTTCTTTTCGGATTAGTAAAAAAAGCCACAGAAAATCTTAAGTTAGCATCAAATACTCACAGAGATCCTTAAAAAACAGAGCACGCTCATTTGTTTTATGTGTTCGATCTGTCCTGAATGACAAAGTCCCTCACTCTCTGTCAACATTCACCAACTAGGAATCATTAACCACATGTTTGTTTGTTTTTTTTTCAACCTACACTGGTTTTTTGGGGGGTTGTCAGACTTTGAGAAGGAGAAATCTAAGAGCACTATTACGATAACTGTTAAAACAACACTAGGCTCGAGACAAATTAGTCATGTGATCATTCGACACGATTTTCTAACCTGGAGACGATATCTTGTGTAATCTGTACGGTATTTAATATGTGATGTACTGTTTAGTTGTGTGCTTTTGATTGTTGTATTGTACTGTATTGGCATTTACATCAACCTGTCCAGGGACTGCAGACACTAATTAGAATGACCCTCAGTATAGGGCATATATCTCCGCCCAACTGAGGCCCAACAGTCCCCTTTTGACACAATATTCAAAATCTCTGGATTTTTATTTGAATCTGCATCAAACTTCACACACTCATAAATATCATCAGTATCATGAATTATTCCCTGGGATGGTGAAAACATTGTAAATGCAATTTAAATGTGAAAACGAATTCCTGGATGTGCACAAAAGGACAAAAGGGTTCTTCCCTGAGCCGTGCTACATCATTCCACCAACTTCTTTGGTAATTCATTTAGTTGTTTATGTGTTTACGTGTCAAAACAGGAAGTATTCTTGTTTTGGTTATGTCAGTGTAGTTTCTACCCTCCTCCTTAAATATTCAAAGATCTTTTAGTGTTGGTTTTTCTTGAGCTTTCTATTGATATTTCAAACATGTTACTTGATGTAAATATGACCACAAACAACAGAATCTGATGTTTTTACCATTTAATCACAATGTTAATGATGAACCAACAAGTGCAGGTGGACTTTGCATTTAAACCTGAACCAGAGGGCCACATAAACAACATGAACCCATTGTTAAGTGCGAGGCTGTGAATCTTGGAAGGACAGACGTAACCCAGAAATGCACACAACAGATAATATGAAGTGAATATTCCTGATATTTTCCCAGTGACAGACAGAAAGGAAATGCAGGGATTTATAAAATTAGGCCAAGCACTGGGAGCACTCGAGTGTCAGTTTGAACATTTCTGCAAATGTGTTTTAGAATTACTTCTCCAACTGCCACAACAGTTAAGTTATGTGAGTAGCTTCTTTATTCACTACATGTATCTCTATTATATAAATTGTCTCTCTCCGCTCCTGTGGTGTGGCATCAGTGACAGGAGGCCGGAGAGGGCCGTCTCCCTGAAGCCATCCTAGGACTCCCCCTTCAGCACCGACACCAGCTCTCCGCTCTCCTTCAGCTCCTTGACTATGTCCAAGCCTCCGATCAGCTCTCCCTTCACGTAGAGCTGGGGGTAGGTGGGCCAGTTGGAGTAAGTCTTCAGACCCTGACGCACCTCTTCGTCCTGCAGAATGTCAAAGGTGTCATAATCCACCCCGGCGCCGTTCATGAGCTCCAGGATCTGCCTGCTGAAGCCACACCTGGCCTCCTCCTTGTTGCCCTTCATGAACAGCATCACCGGGCTCTGGTTGATGACGCTCTTCAGCCGGTGCTCCAGGGTGGCGGCCTTGGGGCAGGTGTTCTCCAGCTCCCCGGACTCAGCCAGCTCCTTCACGATGTCCAGTCCCCCCACCAGCTCCCCGTTGGCATACAGCTGAGGGTAGGTGGGCCAGTTGGAGTAGATCTTCAGCCCCTGCCGCACCTCCTCGTCGGACAGGATGTCGAAGCTGCTGAACTGGATGTTGTGGGTCTTCAGCAGGGCCACGATCTGCCGGCTGAAGCCGCAGCGGGGCTCCTGAGAGGAGCCCTTCATGAAGAGCATGCATGGCGCCGCGTTGATCAGCTTCTTCAGCCGCTGGTCCAGGTCCGCGGGGCCGCTCTCCGCAGCCCCGGCCCGGCTCTCGCTCACCGCCAGGCGCTGCACCTTCTTGGTCAGCTCCGGGGCGTGGGCCCCGTCCAGGCTGTCCACCCGCTCCCCGGCCTTAAAGAAGAGGAAAGTGGGCACCGAGGAGATCTCGTGCTTCTCCGACACCTCCGGCACCGCTTCCGCCTCCAGCTTCACGAACGTGGTGTGCGCGTGCTCCTTGGCCAGCTCGGCCATCACCTCGTTCATGTGGCCGCACTGCGGAGCCCAGGCCGCCTGGAAGTGCACCACGGTCAGACATTTCCCCGCTTTGGCGAGAATGTCTTCAAACTGCCGCTGGCTCGTCGCCTCCACGAAGTTCGCCATTTTTCTTTACCTTCCCCCCCCCCCGACACGCTGTCTGCGCAGAGCTTCCGATGTCGCGGTGACGTCACATCCGTCGCGCAGCCTGGTAGCTTCCAGGTAGCAGAGCTCGTACCAGGAAGTGGATCGCGTCTCACTCGGTGATAAGAACCCGCTGCTGACGCTGGATAAGCCCGAACGCTAGAGCGACTGCCAAGGTACAGCCCGCGACAAACAGAACCGAACTAGCTGCTGTCGTCGGTGCGACAAGACGATCGTACCGATTCGTTTTTACTAGCATTAGCTTAGCCACGCCGAGAGCGTCCGGGAAGCTTAAGCTAGCCGCTGCCGAGAGGCTGCCGGTAACTAACGGTAGCTGGCTAATGCTAATGCTAAGCAGGCGAACGTTGCAAGCCGTAGCGCGTGTTTTTAATGTTCCCGTGAACGACACGGACACGACGGCTTGATGTCACCGACGCTAAGCTAACAGCAGAATGTACCGGGTTCGTGTTAGCTGTCACCGCGGGGCACATTTATCAAACCTGATGCAGTCGATCTGTGCGAGCACAACAACACAACAAGCGTCACTTAGCAGATGGGTTTCCACTTTAGACTCCTGTTATCAGACTGTAGTTCAGACTGTATCACACTGGACAGAATGCTATTCAAATAAATATATAGCATTTATCATTTTGTAGACAAAAATCAGCTGTTTCTCACATTTGGACCAGATCTAGATCCTCTATACTACATTATACTATGACTGTACTACTATACACTATACTACTATGTGCAAAACCTCTGTTTTATTTGTCAAAATATGAACAGGGCAGTTTAATTGCTTTTACACATCCAGACCACAAGTAGACACCAATGATTTAATAGAAATCCAGTTCTGAATTTAGTAAACATTTAATGTACTTGTGAAAAGGCAGAGAGCTGTAATGTCTCTGCTTTTCTCACATTTTGAGAAAACACATTATACTAAGACTTCAGGTTTACAAAATCTTTACTCTGGTAGTGAATACACACAAAGGAATTTCCAGCTTTTCATCTGTCCAAACAAAGAAGAGCAAAAAACTTAAATATTCTGTTTGTGAAAACACAAAAAGCAGGATGTCTTTTTTTCCCATCTAGACCTCATCACACTGGATCTGGTTGACACAAATTGTTAGACCTGTTAAATCCTAAGCTCATTTACCCAGAGGAGCCTCATCACAATCAGAATCAGGAGAGTTTGAACAAGAACCTGACGCCAGCTTCATTCTATATGACACATGGTTATTTTCTTGATCTTTTTAGTAACTGCTGTGTTTGTTCATAGTGTTTTTTTTTGTTTCCCATTGAGCAAAAGATGCTGAACTTTCACTGGTCTCTGCTTTTCTTATCCATTAGTTTTTATACTGTTTTTGAGTATTTTTGAAGCTGGGCATTTACTTTAACACTTTCTGATTAGTTATTATTTCACATAAAAATGATCAGATCAACTAAACAACAATTAGTTGGGTTGCTGCAATGAATGTGATTATTGGTTGAGTTTGACATAAATTGGTTGAATGGGTGACAAGTTTATATTTTACCTGCAAAATGCCTTTCTTGGTGTATCTTGATCCAAATTGTTTCGTTCTCTTCATATTTTTATGATACAGCAACACCATGGAGGAACAAAGTGCAGACATAGAAGTGACAGTCAAAACCTTAGACTCACAGAGCAGAACCTACACTGTTGGCGGTCAGGTAAAGTCTCCAATTCTTACTGCGCAATCTGGAGAGCATTCTCATTTTCAGCCTCTGAGGTCGTCTAACTGTGGTCTCTTCAACCCTTCTGTAGTTGACAGTGAAAGAGTTCAAGGACCATATTGCTCCTTCAGTGGGTATCCCTGTGGACAAACAGAGACTGATCTACCAGGGCAGAGTGCTACAGGATGAACGAACTCTGGCAGACTACAGTGAGTCATTAATGAATTGTGATGTAATCTGGTTTTAAAGGCACTTTTCAGTTTCCCTCTGCACTGTTTCCTGTGTTGGTTAGTTTCAGTGTGACAGCAGTTCTCTAAAACAAACAGCCCCTCATTGTTTTATAACACATAAATATTGTTTATTAACATTTGGGCGACGCATGCTGGCAAATAAGTCGGAGCTCACGTTGAGGTTTTCTGTTATTGTAAAATGTTATGCAACTTTCTATTTGTTGTGGATCACTGCTGCATCGTAGAACTCCAATTATCAGCTGAAAAATAAATTCATCAATTAGCTCAAATCATTCAGCGTCTAATTTAATAATTCATTATTTCATTTTTTTAAGTAAAGGAACACATTTGGATTGTTGATGTTTATCCAACAAAAGCTTTGTAAATGCATCACTTTGAACTCAGGGAAATTATGTTCATCTTCAATTGTCTCTGGTTTTTATTGAAAGCATTTTATTAAACCCTATTGAATTGATTTATTAGTTTTCTCTTGGAGCTCATCCACGCATGTCTCAAAAGAAAATACTGAAGTTAAACCATCTTCTGTGCTCAGATGTAACTGTAGCGCTCTTGTTGTCACAGATGTGGGTGGCAAGGTGATACACCTTGTGGAGCGGGCACCCCCTCCGCCCTCTCAGCCTGGCTCAGGGTCAGGAGGCTCTTCGGCTGATAGTGGCTCCTCCTCGTCCTCCCAAGGAACACCCCAGGTGCCTCCACATGATCGTAATGCTAACAGCTACGTGATGCTCGGCACCTTCAACCTCCCTGTCAACATAATGGACCCCCAGCAGATACAGGTGCAGGTTTTATCATGTTTCATTTCATTAAAGCCACGGCCAACACAGAAGGTATGGACTTGAGTGTTCGCTGTCGATTACAAAGGTGTTGATTCTGTGTGTTGCTCTTCTCGTGTAGATGTCAGTCCAGCAGATGGTGGGGGAGAATGCCAGAAATGCCAGAGTCACAACCAGCACTGGGGTAAGATACAGTGTCTGCTGATTGTACACAAAACCACAGGACATCACCCTGTTTTGTTAATTGTCACTTTTTCCCGTTTCAGAGCAACGGGTCTGTGAATGTGCACATTGACATGGACCAACCGGTGCAGAGCGAGCCGAGGCTGAGGCTGGTGCTGGCTGAAAACCTGCTGAGGGACGTCAATGATGTCATCCAGCGAATGGAGGTGAGAGCTCAACCTTCAAATTATTCCTTCGGCAAAGCTCCAGAGAAACTGCTGCCTTATCAGTAACTAAAACGCCCTTTGTCTTGTGTCTGTTTTTAGACTCGGCCGAGTGACGCATCCTCCCAAACTGAGACAACATCTGCTGCTGCTGCTGCTGCCGCTGCCGCTGCTGCCACTACTACTACTACTGCTGCTGCCGCTCCCCCTCCTCCTTCATCTTCTTCTACCTCCTCCACTCCATCTCCTTCCCAGCCCATGGACACCTCCCCACCTCCAACAACCCCCCCATCTGCACCCTCCGCTTCTGGACACTCCGAGGGACCAACCCCCCAACCTGGACCCAAGTGAGACATCAGATTGTTACAACCTTAAATGAATTGGCATAAAATCAATGAAATGTGTTTGACTGTGACAGGTTTTGATTTCTTTTCCTCCTCTAGTCATCCCAGCCCAACAGAGCTGGCAGAGATGTTGTCTGAGCTACGGAGGGTAGAGGAGAGACTTCAGCCCTTCATCCAGAGAGCTCACACCATCCTGGAGACAGCCACCACCACAGAATACAACAACAATACAGTAGGATTCAAACAGCCACATAATCATTTACTGGTGATCTTTGGTATATGTTCAAACTGAGGACTCGTACTCACTGCATCGCTAACTTTATATTTATTTATTTATTACAACAATAATAAGATCGCTAAAACCAGATCCTCCCACCCACACCTGTGACATAGGATTTCAATAAGTATAGGACCTCTACTGGATAAAGTAGTTTTATACTCTCTTCATATTTGTGCTCTGTATCTTCACCTGGTATCATACATGGAGTGAACACACATGTTCTTTTTTAGAATCTCTGTTTCTGTCTTGTTTTATTAGTGAGTTTAATATTTTGGAGTGTGTATTTATAAATATCTAGTTCCACATAGCCTCGTTGAATTAATCACTGCTTTGTGCCTGCAGAGGGCGCTGTTGTTTCCTTGTGTATTATATTTTAATTTATTTCAATATCATATTTAAAGTCCAAATTCAGTCAGATTAATTAATTAAGGCTTCATATGATGAATTGGATAAATGTGCAGGAATCCTCATCATGTTCGATCTATGTTACATTTTTGTAAACTATCAGTGGTGAATGAAATGTTTTTTGTGAAAACTCTTTTCTCAAGCTGATGTATTATCTCTAACAGGAGAGAGAGGATGACCAGCGGACTCTCGTCTTAACAATGGAGTGTCTCCGTCTCCTTGGAAACGCCCTTGTGGCCCTCAGTGACCTCCGACTGAACCTCATGAGCCCTGTGCCCCGCCACCTTCACGTGGTCCGTCCGTTCTCCCACTATTCCACCCCGTCCAATATGCCTGGAGCCGTACACCACCACATCCCAGTGCAAGTAAGAGAACGCAATTATATTTTAGACAGAAGTTGATGTGAACGTTTTATTCAATTGTGCTGACTGTGCTCGAATCTTCACCAACAGATGAACCTGGGTGCCACAGTTACTGTTGCGGCTAACGGCACTGAGGGACAAGCCTCGACCACCCAGTCGGCAAGCCAATCGGAGCAGGCAGGTCAGGGACAGACCTCTACCCCACAGACTTCCCCGTCCAATCAGCAGGCGGGACAGGGACAGGCTGGCCCCCGGGTCATCAGGATCAGCCACCAGGCAGTCCCGGTGGTCATGATGCAGATGAACACGGACGGTGTGTTGTCCCGTATCCGCCCCTGATTGAATGCTCCACTTCATTAAAGGCGTTTGTGTGTCACGTTGCTGGGCGGCAGTGCATTGGAATAAAATGACTGCACGTATCGCACCACTACATCCTCCATGCCCTGCTGCCCCGAGCATTGGCCGACTGATCTGCGGAATTTAAAGATTTAAAGGCTTAAATCTCATGAGACTTTTCCCCCCCCGTGTTTGTTGAATGAGGCTGTTATTGCAAATCCACTTCTTTGGAGTGTAACATACAAGTATAACAGAGTTTAAACTATTTCTTGTGTTTGTGTTTAGGCCAAGGAGCAAACCCTGCAGCAGCTGGTCAGCAAATGCCCGGACAACCAGGTAAAGAACAGTTTAAAGTGATCAGCAATGTCAAATATTCAATCAAATATTTTGAAATATTAGAATTTATTGGATGCCTAAAATTCATGAAATGAAAATACCTTTAGGTTCAGTTCTGTTTAGCAGCAAAGCAACAAGTTAAGCAACAAAACATTTTAAAGGAATGAAGTCAACTTTGGCTTTAGGAAACAACGTAGGAACAGTGATAATGAGATTCATCATTGATATTGGAAATTATTAGCTGCAGCCCTGAAGCGTTAATTTATCTGTCTTGTTTTCTGCTGATCACAAAAACAACAAATCATATTAATCTAATTCACTGGTCGGTTTCTGCCTCCAGGTGCCCTCCCCCCTGACTTTATGCGGAACCTCATGCAACAGATCAGCCAATACGCCGCTGCCGTAGCTACTAGTGCCGCTACCGCCGCTGCCACCGGCCAGCCAGTCCCGCCGCAGCCCACCCCTCCCGGCTACAGCTCCACAGCCAACTCTTCAACTACCACCACGGGTCCCAACACACCCACCACCACTCCTACTGCTCCCCCACCACCTCCCCACACTGGACCCCAGGCCAGGGTTGTGTTCACCCGACCCCCTTTTGCACCCAACATGCCCCCTGCGGCGTTTGGCACCAGAGGAACCACCATCAATGTGAGGGCTGCCATGCCCGGCCAGCAGCCAGGACAGGTGGGAATGATGTTGTCAGATTCGGGTCCTGTGTGATTGTTGAGGCTGCTTGTCAACAGATTCAGCATTTGAAACTAAATAAGAACTCTTCCTCCACAGGCTTTCAACCCTGCCGCTCTCAACCAGATGATTAGTGGACTAGTCGGACAACTTCTGCTGCCGGGACAAATGGGTAAGCTCATCTGTTTATTAAATTTAGATTCAGACTTTTAACAGCATTTCTGTCATTATGAGATTAACTTCAACAGAGATAATCGATTGCTGTTAATCAATATTTCAATCTGTTTTTTCCACAGCTGGTCAAACTGTCACATCCTCATCCTCCTCATCCACATCCACACCGTCCTCCACCTCCTTTCCCGCCTCTCAAACCACAACCTCTTCCTCCTCCTCTTCCTCTTCCTCCTCCTCGTCCTTTTCTTTCTCCACCTCCGGACCAACACCCCCACCCACTGCAAACAATAGTAGTCCACAGAGCCAGACTGAGACCAACCCCAATGAGCCCCAGTCCCAGGAGATGCCCCCAGACCTCAGCCAGCTCCTGGGTTCTCTCCTGGGTGTAGCTGGTGCCGGCCCTGGAGGAGCTCCTTCTATCACCGTCACCACATCTGGTGTCCCAGCCTTCATCCAGGGAGTCAGTGAGTTCATGCAGCAGGTGAGTGTTTGAATGCTTCACATTTCCTTTGTGCATTACTTTTACTATCCGGAAAACAATGCAAGCAGATCATGTGAAAGGATTCCATCAACAGGAACAGACAGACTTCAACACTTTTTTGTTACTGACAGAAATTGGAAAAGGCTTTTTATTGTTCTTTGATGAAGCAACTTCTGATTTAAATAATCATCTTGAAATGATTAAATTTTCAAAATTAAATATTTTATTTAGTAAATCATATCAAATCATATGTAGTTACTCAGTACTGGTGTTATTATTGAAATATTTAAATTACCCAGCCCCAGTAAACACTGTGTGGTCTAGAGAGGACAGACAGGTTGACTGTTTGTCTTTGTGTTATCCATCTGCTCTTCTCCATTTCAAGTAAAACAAATGAATGTTAACAAATCCACATTTTATTTCCAGGCCCAGCCCATCTTTACTCCACCCCCACCTCCCTCTGGTACTGCTCCAGCTCCCGGTTCAGGGCCCAACCCGATGCCTAACCCCGCTGGATCAGCTGAAGCCCTCAACCCAGAGTTATTTACAGGCATCGTCCGTGGTGTCCTCAGCACCATGATGGGCTCCCTGGGCCAAACCCAAAACGACACAGAGAGCATCGCTCAGTTTATGCAGAGGCTGTCCCAGGCAACCAACATCTTCATCAGTCCCGAGGATCCTACTGGTGAAGAACAGCTCAGTTTGGACAAAGAGCATTTTCTGTATTCACGGTATTTCCTTCTTTTATTTTAGTTTCATTTGTGGTTCACAGGGTTTTTCGGTGAGCTGCTGATGTTGGTGTGCCAGACGTTCACCATGTCAGACCTGGTGATGCTGCTTCACGGACAGCACCAACCTCTTGGTCGCATCCAGCCTCAACTGTCCCAGTTCTTCACCCAGAACTACCTCAGTGGCAGAGAGCCCACCGACCAGAATATTGCTGTTAGTACGACTCAGCAGGATTTACTGTTGTTAACTTCAGATGGATTACCCATCCTTGAATACTTAGAGCTAATGTTGCTTTCATTACAGGGCACACATGCTTCTATTTTGTGTAATTGACCAGTAAATGTTTTATTATTTCTTCTTGTGTCCCACAGGAATCTGCTGAGAGTCTTGTTAACGAACTGGAGGAGTACATCACTGAGAGCTTTGTGAGTCCCTGATATCTGCTTCTCATCCAGTGAAATACAAAAACATAATAATGAGATGTGTTCAAATCATTTTTTACAAGATATTAATTTATCACAGCTAAGACACAAGCTTTGATGATCCAAAGCTGTAATTTTCTAAAGCTCCAGCTTTAATCAGAAATGATCAGATGCCTATAATGATTTCTATATCGTCCATATGGTCGTTTTGTCTTTACTGAAGAAATGTTGGTGACTTTAAAATACTTTTCCTTGAAGTCATTTTAATTGCACCGTCTCTTTCAACTCCCTCAGAGAGAGTCTTCAGTCACCGTGTTGGACGGCGTGGATGTTACTCAGACCAACATGTCCTTCTTCAGACAGCAGCTGACTCGTATCGCCACACATATTCTGCGCTGCAGTGGTAAAAGGCCTTTTTTCTTTGTCTAGTTTTCTAGTTGCCTTCATTTGTGTTGTGAAGGTTGTAGAAGTAAAGATGATCCTATTTAAATTATTCGTCAGGGATCCATAAACTGTCTCTGTATTAAACGTGGTACAGAATCATAAAGGAATTTGTTACTGAAATAAATGTTTTCATATATATTTTTTTTTTCCTTATTGTTCAATTTTAATATTTTTTCTCGTCCAGATGAAACATTCGGGCCCCGGCTGCTGCTGATGTGTAACCAGGCTCTGTTCGAGTGTCTGGCCCTCAACCTGCACTGCCTGAGAGGAGACCAGAGAGCTCTGACTGCAGTCATCAACCACAGAATAGTTAGTACACGAGGATTCACTACAATCACTTCAATACTTCTTCTTGTCCCAGATGCTGCTCTCTGTTCTGAAGGCAGTACACTCCAGATGAAACACGTCAGGCAAAGTCAATTTACTGCTTTGTGTAAATGGAGATTCCCTCATGTCTACATGCTGTAGGTGACCATCACTGACCAGTTGAAACGAGTTAGTTGGAGGGAAGCAGCCGTGCAACTTTACTGTTACCTCACCAGCTTATAGATATTACAGCAAGTAAAGCCAGTCATGTTTTATTTAGCTCACTAACATCTGAGAGTGTTCTACCAGAACTGTACAGCTATGTCTCTTTTTCTTTTACCTTTCTCTTGATATTTTATTCCAGAAAATATTTTTAATAATTTAGTAATTTTACAGCCAGTGAATCCAAACGAGGAAATGAGTTGTGGCTAACTTAGGAGAACTGTATTCATTGTAGACTTGATGTTACATTGCAGAATTTAAATCATAGACTAGATAAAAAAGGACATCGACACTTGAGTCCGGAAAATGAAGCCATTATAGAAGTGATGGAAATCTGTATTCTCTCGAATGACCAGCAGGTGGCGACTTCAGTTCTTGAAAAAGAAAAGTCAGTTTCTATAGAAAATGACTCAACGTCTCTCTGGATTTATAAGATCAGTAAACATTTTCCTGAGGAGTTCATGTTCTCAAACTCTAATTTCAAGTCTTCTTCAATACAGCATGAGGTTCATTTTGTAAATGATGTTCCCATTTAGAGCCAAATACATGATTCTCAGTGTAAACGTGTGATTGAGTTTGATCACGACTCAACATGAACAAGCATCACTTGGAGAAGAGTGAGTTTTTTTTTATCTCATAAAAAAGAGATGCAAAGTAAAAGCTGAATTTTCTTCCGGTTCCAGCGAAGGATGTCGAGTGACATCAGCCCCAGCCTGGTCAACTGGATGACCAGCATGATGACGATGAGGCTGCAGGTGATTCTGGAGCACATCCCGATCTCACAGGAGCAGATCCAGAACTACATCGTTCACACACAGGTACTGCAGCAAACACACAGCCAGTTTTTATTTATTCATTTTATTTTATCTGTGTGTTCGTGGCTCGTTCACAGGATAAGGAATGAAACACGGAGGCAGCTGGAGGAAAACACGTGTGTGAGCCGTGATGTAACCTCTCAGGTGTTCAGTTACTCAGAAGATGTTAAAAGTTTGATTGTTTTCTCCAAATCTTCTTTTTGTATCTTTCATTGTCTGAGTTTTACATTTTATTAGTTTCCAGCACAACAGAACACACATGTTCACAGGTGTATGCAAATGATTTGACATGCAGAGAAAGCCGCCCGTCTTATCTGATGGCTCTTACGTATCGTGTTTCTTTAGACAGCACGTCTGAAATGGCTAATGAATATTGGATGACATTCTTTCAGAGAGATCAGTCTTCTGCAACTGGCACACAAGAGCCTGAACGAGCACAAAGTGCAACGGTAAGCATGGTGTGTCTTTAAAATCCTCTGTCGATGAACCCCAGCTTTGACTTTTAGTTTCCTCACTTCACTCTTCTCTCCCTCTGAAGATCGTGGACAGCCCCTCACCAGCTGCAGCAACCACGGCAGAGGAGGCCATGTCTGTGTCACACGACACAAGGGCATCGTCACGGGAGACGAGGGTGTTGCCCGGAGACCTCGGAGCCGCGGGAGGGGCCGCGCCATTAGGTGGCGACATGGCAGCAGCAGGAGCTGAGGGAGGGAGCGAGGAGTCTGCTGGAGAGTCAGAGGCCTGGGCGGCTGCTGTTCCGCCTGTGAGAGAACACACAGTTTGTTCACTGTTTTTATTAACACATCGTTTTGGCTGTTTGTAAATTTGAGGTCAGGACGTTCTGCTGCTGGACAGTTTCCACGTTCGTCTGGAGGATCAGACAGTTTTATAGGAACTGTTTCTGAAATATTTTCCAGAGTTCTTGGAGTCGTGGGGACATTGTTTCTGGACGTACACACTGACTGAGATTGTCTTTAAAAAAACACTCAGATGTCCATTAATACACTAAAAAGTGTTTGAGTCCCAGGATAAGAGATGGGTGATAAATTCCACATTAGTTAACCAGAAACAGACGAACCATGCAGCTAATAATCGTTTCACTTTAGTCTAGAGAAACGTTTGTGGTGAGCTTTGGTGGTGACATTACTAAAAAACTAAGATCCTTCCAATTTAATAAATATTTAAGGCTTTATATTTGTAAAGTTGTATTTGAGACATGTTTTTACCTCTCGAGGAGCCGCGTCACCCTGGAAACCCCTGCTCACTCATGATCCTTGTGTATTTACAGGAGTGGGTGCCCATCATCAGGTGCGATATGATGACCCAGAGGAAGATGAAGGCCCAGCCTCCGCTGTCCGACGCCTATTTGCATGGAATGCCGGCGAAACGCAGAAAGGTGATCAGATCGTTTCCAGCTTCACTCATCACATTAAGATGTCCTCACCTGATTTAATGTCTGTTTGTGTTCTCAGACAGGACAGGGGGGTGCGAGCCTCCTCTCCCTCTCTGATGCAGTGAGTCAAGCAGCCAGGACGGCCGGAGTTCGGCCCATCACCTCTGCCGAGCGACTACAGGACGATCTGGACACACAGGAGACAAAGGAGGCGTACGCAGAACAGGTAACTGAATCTTTATCTCAGAACGAGCCAGGGACACACAGCTCATCATGTTGGCTAATAACCACCTCAGTGTTGATCTGTTTTACGATTCTGGTAACTTTTCTTTTGCAAGTTACGAAGCTGAGCATCAAGTGTCCATCAGGGTTTCGAAGATGTTAAGCCAAAATATTTTATTTTGAATTTTTCTGCTAAAATCCGAAAAAATGAAGCTCCAGGTTTTATTTTCTTCATTTTGGATATTTGATGCTTTTCTCTGTTTTTCACTAAACTTGATATTTTTGAGAATTGGACAAATAAAGACAAAGTCACCTTGGATCCAGGATAAAGTGAGACAGACGTTTCACATTAAATAATTAATTTAGACAGATTTATCGATAATGAGAATAATTTCCTCTGTCATCAGCAGTTTGGCTGTTACATGAAATGATGAATGAGGAGAATGAAAAAGCCATGTGGGATATTAATGATGATTTATTATCACTGGAGTGATTCCTCTTCAACTTTAATATTCAAATATCTTAAGACTAGTGAGCGTCAGTATAATACTTTATTAATTTATATGTTCAAGATTATGGACATTTCGTTTTTAGGTGGCCCTGTGCATATTCAAGTATTAATTTGTGATTTAAACGATCATTTAATTAATCTAATAATACGTCTGTATCACAATTAAACATTGTGAACGTCGTTAAATCACCTTTTGACAAAGAGTTTCTATCTCCCACCTCAGTCGTAACTATTTTTCTTCTTCTTCTTCTTCTTCTCTCAGGTCAAAGCCGACATCAAGAAACGAGTGAGAGAAGACCCGGATTTCAACTCTCAGCAGTTCCCCAACTCGCATAGAGCTTTCTCCTCAGACTCGTAATCAGCTGTAACCCACAAGTACTCTAGCTGTTTTCATCTGTGTTCAGTTTTTGTATCATCGTTTAACTTCCCCGACCGCTCGCTACAGCTTCTCCCCACTGTGTGTACCGTTTTTAAGCAGCTAGCGGCTCTCGTCTAATTTCCTAACGCTAATGTGACTGCTTCCCCAGTGCCTATTTATTACTTAGTGTTTATTTAGGTCAAACCTTTGCTGAGAGAATGTCCCCGATCAAAAAGATACTATATTAGATTTAAGTTTCACTAAACCTGGTGACTTTAGTTCTGTTACCTTGTGTACGTCGGTATTTCTTTTGCTCTCTTATCCTCGTGTAGCTTTGTCAACATGGAGCCTGAGTTCTCGTTATTTAGTGAACTTTTGCCTTCCTCTCGATAAAGTGCAGGAGTATGATTTCATGTGATGAACATGCTGTACAGTAAGCTTAATAAAAATCTTGATACAATGGAGTTCTCTTTTTGTGTGAGTGGGTAACGCCGACGTTGTTTTGAACGTGATCTGTATCAGGAACGCCCAAAGAGAATTTCATTGGATCAGGTGCAAACGTTCACTCGGACTCAAGCATGAGCTGGATACATTTTCCTGGTCGGAGGTCGACGTGATCCAACAAATCATGTTTCTGACCTTTGCCTAAGAATTGTGACCAGTTGTCGCTTGCACTCTATTGTTTTCACCATCGAGAGAAAAAAAAAAAGTGCTTGTTTTTCTGAATTTACGACTTAATGGTCTCGTTCATTCAGAAAAACAGCTGATTTTTTTTTTTTTTCATAAGAAAATTCATCTTTTTTATTTTCTTTTTAAAAAAACGAAATCCACTCAGTTTTAATGAATTAAAGCGAAAGTCAAGTCTCAATTCAGAAAAAAAGATTGTTGTTTGGTTTACTCCTGCTGTCGTCAGGTTTAGTTTGAGACGTGTGGAGACACTCGTGTCTGGAAGCGTGAAGGTAATTATTCTTTATGATGCATTAGAACTCCATGACATTTATTCACCGATTTCTGTGACTCGCCAAACATTCTGTCGTAATGAGACCGGCATGAGCAGGAAATGAGATGAACCTGTCAAACCTGTCTCTGCACACGTCCGGACACCCGACTATTGTTTAACTGCAAACTTGAAAAACTGGAAACGTTTCCTTTATAGATTTAATGAGATGTTCACACTCAGATCCGGTGTGGTGAAGTTTTCTCTGTCTGCAAGTGATTCCAACACGGTCTCCCTCCCAGTAAAGAGCCACACTGACAATACGAGCTGATAAGGTCCAGAGAGAAGAGTGTGAGCGACGTGTGCTCGACACGCTCCAGATGGACGGCAGCGAGGACATTTACCTGTCGGCCTAACATTCTTTAGCCTCTGTGAGACTGCTCACGGTGGATTTGATTAACCAACGTTGGTGACAGGTCGCTCCGCCTGAGCTCGTTATCCACTGAGGAACGTAAACAGCCAGTGCACTTCCTGGTTGGCATCCTGTTCGGGGTGAGGAATGTGAGCGAGTCATGCGGCACAAAGTTCTCATCTCCACTTGGATGAAAACAACTCCGCGTTTTATTCTTCATGATTTTATTACGGACCATTTAGGTCGATTACAAACAATGAGAGAATAAATATGATGGGACATGATTTAATACAAGTTCATTACAATCAGGTTGTAACTTTTTTTTTTTTTTTATTGAAATCAAACAGCAATAAATGCACAAATAAAACAAAATGCTAGTTCGATGAATTTGAGCCAGAAAACATTTCACCCAATTTTTATCTTAATCTTTTCCTGCTGTTTTCCGTAAGTCCAACACAATTCCACCGCCTGTGGAGTGTGTGTGTGTGTGTGTGTGTGTGTGTGTGTGTGTCTCTGCAGGTTCATCATGTCACAGTGAATCATCACAAATGTGAGTAATGAGGAAGCG